TGTTGCCAGCACAACCTGCAAGCAATTAATCGAAATTTGAATACGGCTAGTAAGAATCTCCTCCCCTTCCTTTTCTTCGCCTTTTCTCCAGAATAGCAAAAAACATACCTGGTCCATGAGAATATGTAATTTCCAAAAAGTCTTACAAAATTTTTGATACTGCTGAGAAATAGACACTCCCCCTGCCCCTCCCTCCGAAATAGACACTCCCCCCTGCCCCTCCCTCCAAATTATATCCATTTTGATTAGTTTTTTGCAAATTTTTTCGAGATTTTTAATAACCTTATAATCAGCAGTATCGTCCTTGTTGGCACTGGGAATTTCCAACGCATACTTATTGTCATCAATTTTGATCGGCTTGATTTTATCGCTCGGTGTAATTTCTTTACCATTTTTGTACCTACAATACATTAGATTTTGTGACTTTTTCAGTCAAAAACTACCATCAGCTTGATTTCAAGAAACTCTCTAGAGAAACGGCCATCGATCTTTGCCTGTACGCATGCCCTCAGCAATCACTCGGCCTTTCAGCGACTTCTGCTTTTCACAGCGAATGAATATCGAGTGTTGATTTACTATGAGATTTATGAAGCCGGTTTAACACCTGTCATAGATGGAAAAACAGCAGCTGATACCAATAACTAGAAAAAAGTGTAGAAAAAATCAAATCCTACCATTTCACAGATTTTGGTGGCGCGCTGACTTCCACTCCGAGCACAACCTTATCGCCAACTTTAGCTTCTTGGTCTTCCAAGCCTTTCGTAATTGTTAATGTTGGGAGTTTCACTGTCAGAGCACAAGATGAATCTACGGTTTCATCATCGTCGCCTGTTAGCACGACCTATAGTGAATATTTTTTAGTTTAAGAAGAAGAATATTAGCTCGCTGGATAAAGTCAAAAATTCCTAGAAGATCTGAAAACTCCACTTCGGGGTTAGGCAATTTTTATGCGTTTTTGCTGTGCAGCGCTATAGCAGCGCTATAGCGCTGCTACAGCCAGCAA